ACGGTCACCTCCACTCAGAAGCCTCCTCACTGGGGTGGGGCACTTCTTCACTCTGATTCAGAACTTTTCCACTCCTAGCCTGCCCCCTCCTCCTCCCCTAGGTCCCCCAGGACCATAAGAAGGCAGGAGTCTTTTGTTAGGGGCTCCTGGCAGTGAGGTAATTCCCCTGTTGCCTGCATTGATCTCACCTCGCCTGATGCTGTTCCACGAGGAAAAATGGAGCATTAGAGAGGGAGGCAATGCCTCTCGTTTTTACCTCTCGCTTGTACTGTCACAGTGAGTGAATAAAGGCTCGCTTTTGCCTTCAGTTTGGCTCATTGTCCTGATTAACCATCTTGGCACCAGGCAACTCCACAAAACGATGCAGCAATCATGGTGGCCAGTAGAACGCGTAGCAATTCTGCAAGAATAAGAAGTCTGAGGGTCCCGTGGGGCACCCAATGGGCCTTGGGGAGTGCTAGTGGATTATTTACAGAAACTTTTCGGTTCTGAGGGGAACCTTTGGTCCTCAGACCCCTGGCTGAGCTCGCCCCGTGGGTCAGATTAGAAATCCAAGAGAGGGACTCTGGGGAAGCTGGGGAAACAGTTCTCTGGCTACTGCTCAAGGTCCTGCAGCAATGGGACTGAAAACTGTCAGAGACTCCGTGCGCTGAGCTGCATCCAGTAACTGTTGCTGGCTCTAAGCAGGTCCCTGGTGCCAACACACATCCTGCAACACAGCATGTTATTGAGACTCATGCCTTCGGGCAAAGGGTATAGAGTCCTTCGGGATCACTTTGCCCGGGGGCCCGAAGAGACCTTAGAGACTTGGTTAGCTCGCCTCCACAATGAAAAAGATCATCTTTTGAAACTTAGTGATGGAGAATGGTGCCTTGTGGGGCACATTACTACAGACCCCCTTTTTTGAAGTGCCCTGACAGTGGCCCTCTTGCCTGAGGAGGAGGAGGAAGAGGGGACGAGAGGGTGCAAACGTCAAGACTGGGTACTACTTGGTTCCAATGGCTTTGGCCCACCCATAACAAGCTCCTTGTTTGGACCACACCTGCAGAGGCTGTAGCATCCTTGCAACCCATCCTTTTGGTCCCTCAGGTCTCCAATGAGGGACTGAGAACAGAAGGTGGTAAGACTGTTAGCCAGACTCAAATTTCCGGGTTCGTCCATGCTGCTCCTGCTGGCACGGGTCACCTGGCCCTGTTAAATCTCCTTGTGAGGTCGGGTCAATCCTTCCATAGCAAAGTCCGAGTCTTAACTGACAAATTCCCAGAAGCAGAAAAAACGGCCACTGGCGAAATAGCAAAGACTGACCAGGACAAAGGGCAGCGTAAGAGTAATAAACTGGCACCCTCTCCTGGGCAACCTGGGCGAAGGCCTTCCCCAAAAGATCTCTGAATTTGATCACTGGCTGACAGTCTCGAAGGAGACTGATAGGCCGAGGAATTCAGGGCCAAGTACGCAGGTGTGTGGGACACCTGATGGGGCTCCCAATGAGCCTGGAGATGAATTGGAGATGACTTTTTCCCATCTGCCAATCTTACCTGGACCTCTTGGCATTCAAAAATAAATAAGACCAGGGGTCATGCCAAGGTCCCTCCCGTCCCCTTGGGGGAGCAGAGGCCCTATGCCTAGGTCAAGGTTCAGTGAGAATGGAGGGGAGAATTGCACGTCTTGGGCCTTTGGCTGTTGGCGCACAGGTGACTGTGATCCCTGAAACCCTGGCTCCAGGGTGAGGGGGAAACAGATAAAGCTCTCTGATTTAGAGTTTGAGGCCACTACCACTAGGACCCTTGCCCAAGCCCAGCTGTGGGCGGGTCCTTTTTGGTCCCTACAAACCTCCTTTACTATGGCTCCCACTACGGAATGTATTATGGGTGTAGATGTATTGTCTTTGTGTACTCCTACCTGCCTTTGCTCCAGATGCCTGAAAAGAACTGCTACACTTTAGTGAGGCACATGGATGACCCATGAATCTGCTCAATTACCTACCAGTGCCTAGTATCATTGTCTACCCGAAACAATTTTGTCTGCTTGGGGAGAACAAGAAATAACCGACCACATTGCCAATCTCAAGGAAGCCAAAGTTCTCCTTGAGACAGTTTTTCCATGCAATAGCCCTGTCTGGCCTGTGCTCAAGGCCTTGGGAGGCTGGAGACTCATCATTGATTATAGGAGGCTCAGTGCCATAGCCCCGGTGGACCTGATGTTGTGACTGTTGGAGAGGTTATTGCCCAAGCTGGGGAAACTTGGTATGCTGCATTTGCTATTGAAAATGCCTTTTTTAGCATCCGTTCTCTACCCAGATGATCAGGATCAATTTACCTTTATGTGGAATGGTTGCAATATACCTTTAATGTCTTACTACAAGGCTACCTAATTCTTCAGCTCTCATCAATGTGGTCTGGAAAAAGTCCTGCTCTTGGAGGGGGCACTAACCCTCCTTGTATTGACTACATCCTCCTGGTGGACCCAGACAAGGGCACCGTCCAACAAGGATTGGACACCCTATTGACGCCCATACTACAACAGAGCTGTTATATGGCAGCAACAAAACCAGGCCATTAACCCAGGCAAGGCACAAGGACCTAGGGTCCAGTGAAATTCCTGGGCATTATCTGGGAATGGGCATGACATATCATTCTAGAGCTGACTGGCCTGACAAATAAAAAGAGGCCCAGTGATTGGTGGATCTCTTCAGCTACTGGTGCTCTCACATAACACATGTGGGCATCTTGATGGCATCCATCTACTGAGTTACCAGAAAGGCTGCTACCTTAGAGTGGGGTCTCTACCAATGAATTCTCCGGAGGCCCTCCAATGAGCCATCTGGCCACCCTTCCCCTCGGCCCCATGGATCCACATTTGCCTTTGACTTACAGGTCTCAGTTCGCTGATTGGAGCCTGTGGCAGAGGAACAGTGCCATGGGCCAGTGGCGCCATTTGGGTTTTGGATCCATAAACTCTCGGAGTAGGATGAAAGGTACACACCCTTTGAGAGGCAATTATTGGCCTGTTAGGGCCTTTCTAGTACCTCGAAGCATCCACCTTATTAATGTGGACATGATACATTGCTGTAACTGGATTCTGTAGGAGCAAAATACATCCCTAAATGTAAACTCACTCCTGTCAAAGAAGGAGGCAATCAGAACATTCGGAAGAGGGGTGCAGGATCTGCCACCAGAGCTATTTGGCCACACTGATGGTAGCCTCCTGCCCTCCAGACTGTGTGGTTATTCTCACTGCTGAGGTCATCCAATTAGAAAAGGTTATATGCAATCTGTCCTTACCCTCAGTGAGGTTGTTAATGATACTGTCTCAGCTTTGGAGGCACAAAAGACCAGCCTCAACTCTTTGACCTGAATGGTGCTGGGTAACTGCTGGCCAGCCAAGAAGGGGGTCTGTGTGATTGCCAACACTTGGATCAATAAAACCGGCAAAATAGAACAGTCTATTTGGAGGCTTAGGCAGGACACCTCCTGGCTCTCGAGACTAGACCCTAATGAACTATGGGACATCTTTTTCCGGCTTGACAGCCATTGGGGCCCATGGCTACATTCACTCCTCCAGGCAGGCCTGATCATCCTACTTGGAGTGACCTTGATGATGGCCCTCAGACTGATGACCCAGCATGGTCACAACCCCTCAATGTCTGGCTCATTTGAGTCCATGGTAAGGTAGCCTATGCTTCTTGCTCAGGCCTTGAAGGATCAAGGAGTGGAGTTAACGAGTCCAACTCCAGGCCAAAATCCTTTTTGTGATATTTCAGGGCCAACCTCTGATAATTATAAGACCGCCTGGCAGGCCTCATGGGGGGAAGCTGCCCCCCCCACACCAGACTTGATGCACAGCCAGCGCATTGCAATTTTCTGAAGGGAGTTGTTGTTAAGGACTCGCCACACAGGCCAGCCATGCTCATATGCATTTCTGCATTCCTAGCCTCCTTACTGGGAGCCTTGGCTGAGGCACTTTTTCCACCATCTGGCTCAGTACTTTTCCACTCCTAGCCCTTTCCACTCTTCCTTTCCCAATACCCCCTCCATCAAAAGATGGGAGCCTTTTGTTTGAGGCGGTGAGAGAATTCCCCCCCATCTGCACTGCATGTCACTTAACACTTGCCTGGTTTCATAAGGAAAGATGGAACACTGGGGAGCTGGCACCTCTTCTTTTTGCATCTTGCTTTCTCTGTAGCAGTAAATATATAAAGGCTTGATTGCTACTTTCAGTTTGGCTCATTGTCCTAATTGACCAACTTGACACCTGACTGCATGCCATTGGGTGATAGGCTGTCAAAGATCTTCTTTTTTTTTATACTTATAACTTACATATATTATTTCATATAATATCAAATACAACATTAAGATACAATTTTTTAAATGCTGTCTGGGTCCCTCAAAGATTCAGAGATCTAGCTTCTGGGGCCTCTGTGAGGTGAGAGTGAGTGGGCCAAGAAGAGCCTCAAATGGTGCAGGGCAAATTGAAGCCCTGGGGATCTGCGGTCCACTCCCTTTTAGGGCTCTGGGTGGAAAGTGCTTTTCAAAGTGCCCCCCTTGGAAATGAGGAGTGGGATAGACCACATCCTTGACTTTACCCAGACGTTCTTGCCAGGGGGCATTACATGAGCTGGGGGTTGGATGGGAGTCAAAGCCAGACCTAAGAGGGCAGGGCCTGCAGGAGCTGGGAGAAGGACCTAGTCAGCAGGGAATGATGGCTACGCTCCTCAGGAGCAGTTACCAAGCCACGCCCACGCAAAACAGACCACAGGTTACCCCACCGGCAGACACGTCAGCAGAGGCAATGAAGACAAGGGCCCAAGGCCCAGTTGGAAGATAGACCCTTCCCCTGGCAGCCTGCACTTGACCACCCCTCCCCCAATGCCATCACCTTCTGTATCCTGACAGCATATGGAGAAGGCAGAGGGGACAGGGAGACACTGCCTGAGAGAAGGAAGAGCCATGACAGGAGGTTCGAGTTTTGAATGGATTAAGTACTCAACCAAACGACTTGCATTTATTCCGAGACCATTTAATACCGGAAGTGACCAAGGGTCCCCCTTCTCTTAACCCCCATAGAAATGGAGCTCCAAACATGAGTTCAGATATAGAATACTACATTCTTTACACATCTGAACTATGTATACATTTCAATCGTCTACATATATACATTTTACATGTACACACAGAGATAAATGCACAGAGCAAGATCTAGAAGGATTCATAGCACACTGCTGGAGAGAGGAGGGAGTGAAGAGTGCTTCTGATTTTACCATAATGCATACATGTATTCCTTGTATGTTTTAGAAAAAAATAAATGAAAACCTTAAAAGTTTACAATTATTATTAAGCACTGACTATGTGCTGGCACAGTGCTAGGTGCTGAGCAAACAGAGCCTCAATAGGGAGAATCTTTCAGCTGTGCTCATTTCCTCATGGGCCGATGGGTTCACAGTCACAGGCAAAAGTCATCTATGAACTCTTTCATGCTGCTTTAAGTGATCAGACCGTGCAAAAGTCCTGTGGCATTTAGTACACCAGTAGGGTCGCTCCCCACTGTGCTTTCTCTTGTGTCTGTTGAGCTCATCCGAACGGGAGAATTTCCACGTGCATCCCTTCACATTGCATTCGTAGGGCTTCTCCCCTGGACCAGAGAGAGAAAAAGAGAGACTCGTCATGCTTCAGGTTAGTGTTGGACAGGGAAGTTGAAAGTGAATGTAGAAGAAAAAGGTTTTGGGAATGTTGGAGTGGAAGAGGGAGAGCCAGAGGAGAGGAGACTGGAGGGGTGAGAGAAAGAGGAAGAGAAGGAGGGTACCATGAGCTGGAAGGATGGGAGGAAAACTGTGAAGGAGGGAAAGGAAGAGAAAAAGAAAAATAGGAGGAGAACAGGGTCAGCAGGAAAGTCAGTGGGGGAATAAGGAGGTTGAGGGCGGGGGGTGTCTGTTGGGCCTAAAGGGAGTCCATGAAGTGACAGTCTGAGTAGAGGTAGGGTCAAGACCAGCCTAAGAGGTCAAACCAATCCCTCCACTTACTCCCATCATCCCAGCACAGTCAACTCCACTAAAGGCTGCAGCCAGGTTGGCTCTGGCCCAGAACTAGAGTCTGTCCCTAGGACCACTTTACCCACCCTTTCAAATTTGCCAACTTTTTCTAGAGTCTTCTGGGTCCCAGGCTTAGAGGGAGGTGGCAACAATCTCAAATGATCCCAAAGCTTTGTAAAGACATAAATCTTTCGTCACTTGCCTGCCACCCCCATCCCTCGGCCCTCACTCACCAGTGTGTGTGCGCTCATGGATTCGGAGGTGGGAAGGCTTTGTATACGATTTCCCACAGTCCTGGTATGTGCAGGCGTAGGGCTTCAAAATGTCAGAATTCTTCTGGAACTGATGTCTCCGGGACTTGAGGTTCCACTTCTGCTTTTCTAGAGATTGTCCTTGGATCAAATGGGAATTTGAAAAGTACAGGAATCCTGGGTATGGCAATGATGACGATTGATGTGGCATCATATGGCCTCCAGAGAGAGTGTGGTCATCAGGGAAAGCTGTCATATAGTCCCTCTTAAGGGGCATCATCTGACCCCCATAGAGGGTCTGGTCACAACTGAAAGTCATCACTTGGCCCCCACAGAAGGTCTGGTCACCACTGTATGTTGTCATCTGGCTGCCAGTGAAGGTCTGGTTGCCAACAAAGGTCATTGTGAAGCCCCCTTTAAGAGCTGTCATCTGGTTTCCACCGAGGTTCTGGTCATTACTGAGGGTTTTCATCTGGCCCCCATGGAGGGTCTGGTCCCCAACGAAGGTCATCTGGCTGCTATAGAAGTTCTGGTCATCATTGAGGGCTTTCATCTGGCCCCCATGAAGGATCTGGTCCCCACTGAAGGTCATTTGGCCTCCATAGAGGGTCTGGTCCCCACTGAAGGTCATCTGGCCTCCATAGAGGGTCTGGTCCCCATTGAAGGTCATCTGGCCTCCATAGAGGGTCTGGTCCCCACTGAAGGTCATCTGGCCTCCATAGAGGGTCTGGTCACCACTGAGGGTCTTCATCTGCCCTTTATAGAGAACCTGGTCATCACTGAGGGTATGTATCTGCTCTTCACATAGGGTTGTCATCTCTCTTCCATTTAGGGTCTGGTCACAACCGGAAGTCACTGTATGGTGCTCAGTGAGGATCTGGTCCCCACTGAAGGTCATCTGGCCTCCAAAGAGGGTCTGGTCATCACTGAGGGTCTTCATCTGGCTACATTCATTGGGGATCGTCATCTTGCTTGCAGTGATGGTTATCTTTTGGCAATCCGTGAATGATGTCTTTGGGGTGTCAGTGACATCTGTCATCTGGGAATTTGCTGTGGGTTTTCTCTGATCAAAGGAGATCACCTGCTCCATGGGAAAAATCTCACTTAGGTCTCCAAGGGGCATATCAAGGGCTTTAACAGGGGGTGGCATTGAGTACTGGACAAGGACTATCCCAGGGATGCTAGAACAAGCAGAAATCATCATTGTGGGCTTCAGGGAAGTCATTACCTGGCTCTGGGTTGACTCCCGTTGGCTGTCCTCACCACATGCAGTCGGAGGTATATAGAGCTGTGGCTCTGGTACAGCTGGGGTTCTTGCCTTATGTGTCTCAGAGAAGTCCTGGAGACACTCCTCAATTTCCTCCAATGTCTGAAGGAAAGAGTCCGTGGAAATCTCTTTGCTATTGCCTGATAGTTGAAGTAGATCTTCAATTGTGGGATCCTGCAAAAAAGTTAGAAGTTCAGGTGTCCTACTCAGCTCAAATCCCTACGCACCCTTCCTCTCCATCCCTGCTGACCCTGTCCTAGTCTAGCCTACCCTCATCTCTTGCCTCGAAGCCTGCAATTGCCTCTTAATTGGCCTCTCTGAGTCTGAATTGTCTCCATCCAATGAACCCTCCACACACAGTCAGGGTAGCATTTCTAAAATGCAAACTCTTACCATGCTACTCCTACCTACTAATGGAGGCGGGACTCTAGATGAATTCAGAATGTCTACCATCCCCTGCAGAGATCTTGCCCCAGAGATTTTTCCAAAGATGCCCCGCCTCTGCAGACATGGTACTGGAGATTTGGTTAAATTAATGAACTTTTAAACATATTATCTCATTTCATTCCCGCCATGACCTCAAAGATGGGAGCCACAATTAATCCCATTTCAAAGAAGAGAAAACAGAGGTCCAGGGAGGTGAAGTGACTTGGCCCAAGTGGAAGACTCTTCACTTCAATTGGACCTCTGGGTGCTCACAGACCTGCATCTACTCTGTATCTTTTCCCCAGAGATCTTCCTGAGTGCTCCCAGGGATTCTAGCTTCCTGAGAACCATCCTGGAAAGCATCAGCTTCCAGGAACTATTCCAAGAAGTAGATTTTTTAGCGGCAGAAGCCTAATGTGTATAAGGTCAAGGTTTATACTTCTATTCAAAATGGCCACTATTATGATTCTAGGTTTCCTATACATCTGGTCCCAGGTTTATAATTATCTCCCAAAAGCCATCATGTGAGTAGCCTCACATTATTTTCATCTGGTATGCCTCTTTCCAGCTCTTGTCCTGCTATAGCCAGACCAGTGCACTCAGTTTTGCCATGTCCCTGTCCTGTCTCTTGCTCAGCCTGCCTCACTCAGCCAAGTTATATCATGTCTTATCAAATATGATCTCCTTTCCTATTCTTGCCCTGTCCTGACTCTCAGAGCAGAGAGACAGCCATGATAATTTCCCCAATTTGTATTCAAAACTTACGACCGTACTGCACACTGTCATCTAATATGGTAGACTGACATCTACCATGTTAGTGCCACATATTAGTACCACAGGGAACTGTCAAGTCCTCTTCTTCTATGCCAAATCCATAGAAGTGATAGATGGCTTTACATTTAATTAATATATAAAATCACACTTGGAAATAAATGGAATTTTCCAAGCCACAATGTAAATAGGGGCCACTGTCACTTGGAGATGTGGGCTGAGGGCACCTCCACGAGTCCAATGCCATTGTAGTGACACTCCGCCAAGAGGAGCCATCAAACCTAGGGTTTCTCTGAGATGATGGCCTCATCGAAAGTCAACCTCTAATAACATCTTACTCTGGTACTTCCTTTCCAACCATTCCTACCCTTGTAATAGTTTAATTCTTATCTACTCCCCTGCCCCTACCTCTGGACTGGAAGCTCCTCAAGGCCAGAGAACTCTATTTCATCCTGAGCAGAGTCTGACAGATCCTGCTGGGAGGACCTCAGAAAACAGGGACCCAGAGAAGGACTTCTGAGTCCCACTTCCTCAGCTCGAGGTCTGCATCCAGTCCCTAATACTTCAGGCCTTCAGGAAAGCAGGCAGATCCCTCCCAGCTTTAAGGACACATAGATCAATCCTGGGTTTTCAGGAGTGATGTCAGCATGATGGCAGAGCAGAAGATACCATCATTCATCTCCCCCCAGCACACACAGAAAACAACTGGATAGCAATCCTCGAAGGAAAACAGCTCTGGAAGGGCTCAAGGATTAAGAACCTACAGCAGAACAGTGGAGCAAAAAACAGAGAATAATCCCAGAGAAAGGATCGCTGGAATACTGTCTTAGCTGAGATGTCTGGAGATGGCTAGGAACAAAGAAGAAGAGTAAAGGCTATAACAGGCACACAGCAGGTGCCATTGCCATCCCCAGTGGCCTACTCTGAGGGGGAACCCATCAGCCTTTGCCACTGAGGACCTCAATGGTCCCTGTGATAGCTGTGGACTTCCTGCAGCTTTCACAGCAAAGTATCTCATAACGTTGTCAAGTGTGGACACAAGTGGCCTGCTCCACAGAGGACACCTGCAGTTTTTGCCCTTGGAGTAACTAACAGCCATCACCATTGTGGATCCCAGGGGAGGATAATATAGCTACACTAATTTTTTAATGGATGCACAATATAAAATGATGTAAAGGGACTGGTCCGGTGGCATAGTGGTTAAGTTTGCATGCTCTGCTTTGGCAGCCTGGGGTTCATCAGTTCAGATCCTGGGTGCAGACCTACACACTGCTCATTAAGCCATGCTGTGGAGGCATCCCACATAGAAGAATTAGAAGGACTTACAACTAGGAAATACAACTATGTACAGTGTATATACATCCATGGATGTGGAACTCATGGATATGGAACCCATGGTTATGGAGGGCCGACTGTACATGCTGCCTACAAGAGACTCACTTCAGCGTTAAGGACACACATAGGCTGAAAGTGAAAGGATGAAAAAAGATATTTCATGCAAATGGAAGCCAAAAGAGAGCAGGGGTAGCTATACTATATCAAAAAAATAGACTTTAAGTCAAAAACTGTAACAAGAGACAAAGAAGGTTTATATAATGATAAAAGGGATCAATTAATCAAGAGGATATAACAATTGTAAACATATGCACCTAATGTAAAAGCACCTAAATATATTAATCAAATATTAACAGATCTGAAGGGAGAAATAGACAGCAACACAATAGTAGTAGGGGACTTCATTCCCCACTTTCAATGATAGGTAGATCATCCAGACAGAAGATCAGTAAGAAACTATTGAACTTTAGACCAAATGGACCTAATAGACATATACAGAACATTTCATCCAACAGCAACAGAATAAACATTCTTCTCAAGTGCACACAGAACATTCTCCAGGATAAATCGTATGTTAGATCACAAAACAAGTTTTAAATATTTAAGAGGATTAAGATCATATCAAGTTTGTTTTCTGACACAATGGTATGAAACTAGAAATCAACAGGAGAAAGGCTGGAAAATTCACAAATATGTAGAAATTTAACAGCGCACTCCTGAACAATCAATGGGCCAAAGAAGAAATCAAAAGAGAGATAAAATATCTTGAGATAAATGAAAATGGAAATGCAACACACCAAAACTTATGAGACACAGCAAAAGCAGTTTAAACATCTGTATTAAGAAACAAGGGGGCCGGCTCCGTGGCCGAGTGGTTAAGTTCACGCGCTCCGCTACGGCGGCCCAGGGTTTGGATCCTGGGAGCGGACATGGCACTGCTTGTCAGGCCATGTTGAGGCGGCGTCCCACATCCCACAACTAGAAGGACGTGCAACTAAGATATACAACTATGTACAGGGGGGGGGGGGGGGGGCGGGGGGGGGAGATAAAGCAGAAAAAAAAAAAAGAAACAAGAAAGTTCTCAAACAATCTAACTTTATTCCTCAAGGAACTATAGAAAAACCAGATTAAGTCCAAAGTTAGCAGAAGAAAGGAAATAACAAAGATCAGAGCAGAAATAAATGAAATAAGAGACTAGAATAATAATAGAAAAGATAAACAAAATTGACAAACCTTTAGCTAGAGTAACTATGAAAAAAAGACAATGCTCAAATAAATAAAATCAAGTGTGAAAGAGGAGACAGTACAACTGATACTTTGGAAATACGAAGATCATAAGAGATTACTATGAACAATTATACATCAACAAATTGGATAACCTAGAGGAAATGGATAAATTCCTAGAAACATACAACTTACCAAGACTGAACCATGAAGAAATAGAAAACCTGAATAGACCTATAACTAGTAAGGAGATTGAATCAGTAAACAAAATCTCCCAACAAAGAAAAGCTCAAGACCAGATGACTTCACTGGTGCATTTACCAAATATTTAGAGAAGAATTAATGCCAGTCCTTTTCAAACTCTTCCAAAAACCTGAAGAGAAAGGAACACTTCCAAACTCATTTTATGAGGCCAGTATTATCCTGTATGGAGGTTCCTCGAAAAATTAAAAACAGAACTATATGATCCAGCCATTCCACTTCTGGGTATCTATCAGAAGGAAACGAAATCAAGACTCTCAAAGACATCTGCACACTATGTTCATTGCAGCATTATTCACAATGGCCAAGACACGAAAACTAAGTGCCTGTCTGTTAACAGGATGAATGGATAAGGAAAATGTGGTATATATATATATATATATATATATATATATACATACAATGGAATATTACTCAGCTGTAAAAAAGGAGAAAATCCTGCCATTTGCAACAACATGGATGAACCTGGTGGGCATTATGCTACGTGAAATAATTCAGACAGAGAAAGACAAAGACTGTATGGTATCACTTATATGTGGAAAAAAAAGTCGAACCCATAGAATCAGAGAATAGAATGGTGGTTGCCAGGGTCTGCAGGGTGGGGAAATAGGAGATGTTGGTCAACGGCTCCAAACTTTCAGTTATAAGGTGAACAAGTTCTGAAGATCTAACGTACATCATGGCGGTTATAATTAATAATGCTGTATTGTATACTTGAAATTTGCTAAGAGAGTGGATCTTAAGCATTCTCATCAAAACAAAAAGGTAACCATGGGAGGTGATGACTGTGTTAATTATCTTGATTGTGGTAATCATTTCACAGCATATATGCATATATCATCATCAATGTATACAAATCATCATATTGTACATCTTAAACATATGCAAGTTTCTTTGTCAATTATACCTCAATAAAGCTGGGGAAAATAAAAAGATTTTCAAAGAAGGAAAAAACCAGTCCCATTCAAGTGCTATACTTCCCTCTCCTGATCTCTAATTTTTAACGGAACCCACCCAAGCCCCTCCACCTCACTGGCCTTGCGTTTTGTGCATCCCTCCATCCCTTCCGCAGAGGTTCCAGTGGCCCAGGACCAGGACTCTGAGGGACCAGCCAGGTAGCGAGCATGCCGTCGAGGAGCCTTAGGCGACAGCAGCCAACACTACCAGTGCCACCACTGTCTCCTCTGCAGGCCCGCGTCTGTCTAGAGGGCACCCCCCTGGGCAGGGCAGGCACGCAGGGGCGCTCAATAACCGCGTCCCCAAAGAAATGAACCATTTTGGATGTTTCAGCCCCTCCTCCCCCATGGGTGGACACCCTGCTAGGATTCCCGACTGTCCACCTGGGAGCTTCTGACCTCCCACCCCAGGACCCGGACGTTTGCCGCTGCGTTTGGAGGTGTAGACTCACCATGAATGGAACCAGCGTTGTGGCCAGGGCCTGCGACTTCGAGGGCTAAGGGCAGCCAGCACTGAGCTGCTGGGCGCAGGGCCCGGCCTCTTATAGCGCCAGTACGGAAGCGCTAGGGTCACAGATTCGCGCCTTTGGTTGGCCACGCCCCTCGGGGCGGAGTCCAGGGCACCATCTTCCAGCCACCTGCGTAGTCCAGACCTCTCGGGACAGGGACAGATTACGTTACCTACAAGGCGCTCCAGGCGTCGAGACAATCATTTCCCAAGTTTCCCCATTGTGCAGGGAAGCAATTTACATGAATTAGCCCATTGCATCCTCGCCACAGTCCGATGAGGTGGACTTTATAGTTGTCATCACACGATGCAGAAACTGAGGCTCAGAGAGGTTAAGTAATTTGCTGGACGTCACAAAGAGAGTCAATCTGAGAGTCTAGATTTGAACTCAAAAGACCTTGCGCTTGTAGTCTGAGTCCTTAAACACACACGAGGCCTCAACCCTAGATCCAATCAACCGCTCGGTTATGCAAATTCCATCTCTTTGGTGCAAATCTAATCAGAGTTACTTCCTGGATGAAATTCCAAATTCGATCAGGTCACCTAGAAATGGTAATGGCGTTTTTTGAATGCCGATCTCCCTTCCTCCCAACCGTCAGGTCCCAGAGACTGTTTCACCCCGGCAGGTGACACAGGCCTGGGGGCCATAAGAGACCTGTGACCCGCTTCGGACTCTGCCCTCGGTCTCCATCGGGTCCCCACCGCTGTGGCCCATCCGTCCCCAGCGAGCCTCGGGGCTCCAGCGATTGCGGAAAGTCCAGCCAGAGGGCCACCCAGCCAGGCTCAGGTCTCCAAAATTTTTAAGGCAAGCCACCCACGCCCTTGGCCAGGGGCCCTTGGTGGGTTGAGAGGTGAGGCGAGAGTGGCCTTAGGAGCCTGGGGCCCGGGACTCCCAGACCTTGGCTTCTGCTCGCCGTGCTGCAGGCCTGTCCTTGTCCACATCACTGGTTCCCTTGTTCTCCTGTCACTCTGAGGCAGCCACTGCCCTGGGACAAGTTTATAATCCCTGCTGTCTCACCCCCACCCCTCCATCCCCAGGCGACCACAGATCTGCTTTCTCTCACTACTTCATGTGTATAAATGACAAAGTATAGCTTTTAAATTCATATAAATGGCATTATTCAGCACTTATTCTGAAATTTGCTTTTTTCACTGGATGTTATGTCGTGAGATCTATTCATGTGGACAGAGGATTAGTGTACTCCTTTTAACTGCAGGTTTTTTCCTTTGTGAGACTAGAGAGAATGAGGGGGTGCCATCCCGGAGTGCTCGGGTCCCCAGGAGAGACTGGCTTTCCTGATTCTGAAACAGAGCGAGTAGGGAAGCATTTGGGGTGAGCACACCACCAGGGCAAAGGAAAGTCAGTTCCCTTTGAAGTTACCTTTGAATAAATTGAGAAATTTGAATAAGGGAGGCCAGTCCGCCTTCATAGATGTGTAGAAAATAAAGGGCATAAGCTTCTCAAATTCAATGTCACTGACTGAATTTACATTGATTGGCTAACAAAATACAGTAAACAGGTTGAAGAAATTAGTCTTTAGTAGTCTGAATCTTACTATGATTTTCTATTTGAAAAAAATGTGGCTGCCAAGTGCAAAAAAGAATTAAAATGGAATAGAATGAGTTCTAAAATTTTAAAAAGGTAAACATTACACTCTAATAACAATTTAGAATTTCATGTGAATAACCATGACAACAACTAAGTTATTTGCAAAACTTTAAATTGTATTCCTCTAATATAATTCCTTTGCCTAAAGAGTTTGGTAAGAAAAGAGAAAAGCTGTCTTTGGCTCTTGGCTCTAGTGTTCATGCTGAGTTGAAAATAAAGAATGAAGACATGCAAACTGACATTAGGTCAACAATTAATAGTCGTAGAAAAGGTTTCAAGAAACTCTTTTGTTCTAAGACTTTGAGATTTAGAAAGTAAACTAAATCAAAGAAATTAACATGTCATAAAAATTAATTTAATACACCTAATCAAGGTAAACCTTTTGGTAAATTAAATTGTTTGGGGAGTCTGGGGTTTAAAGGATGGCTATTTGATTTCTTGATTTTACCACTATGAGAAATAAACATGCAAATATGTCTGTTTAATTTATGTAAGTCTCTGGATTTGGTTTAAATAAAAAGGCTAAATTAAAAGAATCATGTAAATTCCTTAAAATTGCCTTATGAGTCATATAGTTTACTACTATTTAAGATACTATTAAATACTGACTAAATGTTAGTATTTAAGAATTCTAAATGTAAACATGGGTGTACAATTAAGTTGAATCATAATTTAAATAACTAGAATCTTTATAAATTTTGTCCTAAATAAATCTCAGACAAAAGAGAAAATTATGTGAGCCTATGGAGTTATGCTAACCGTACTCGTAGGAGACCAAGGTGAGGCCATCTTGTTCCGCTAAATGGCCCCAGCCCCTCCTTGTGTGACTATTCGCTGCTCTGCACGTACTCCGAAAAATTCACATGCTCTCCTAATTTATGGCCTCCCACTTATGTATGTACTCCCCGAGAGCTTGATAAGTTAAAACTTTGTTCTATGAGTTTCTCTCCACGAACAGGCTGACCACAGGCGGGAAACACATCTACAAGGTATCCATCAGAGCTGACAGAAGAATGGAACAATGAAAGACCCTGGAGTCCATCATATCCGAGGAAACCCCCTCCTTACTGCCCGTTTTCCCTTCATAACTGCCTCAAGATTCTGTAATCCTTGAAGGTGGGTTTTTGAGACATTAGTCATTCATCTTCTGATTTGCCGGCTAATCTAATTAAACTTCCTTTCTTTATCTCTAACTTGTGATTTATTGGCTCAGATCTCAGCGAACAGAGTGAGCCCATTGCTCAGATACATACTAACTGGGTAAAGTCTTAAGAGATCGTATTTCTCTGTCAGATTTCTTGTTATTAACAGTTGATTGTATTATTCTTGAATGATAATTATGTTATCTAAGATTGCTAACTGACTTTAAGATCTTGGACTAATACAATATTGATATAATTAATGGTCACTGTTTCCCTTTAGCTCCAAAGAAATTAAAATTCAGAAAGGGGGAGAAAATAAAATTCTTAATTGCCATACAGTCCTCAAATGAATATTTTTCTTTTCTTTTTTGTCTTTTCTTTTTTCTTTGAGGAAGATTAGCCCTGAGCTAACTACTTCCAGTCTTCCTCGTTTTGTTGAGGAAGCCCGGCCCTGAGCTAACATCCGTGCCCGTCTTCTTCTACTTTATATGTGGGACGCCTACCACAGCATGGCGTGCCAAGCGGTGCCATGTCCGCACCCGGGATCCGAACTGGCAAACCCTGGTCCACCAAGAAGTGGAACGTGCAAACTTCACTGCTGCGCCACCGGGCCGGCCCATACAGTCCTCAAATGAATTTTTGACCTATGTATTCTTGACTATACATTTGTTTTTCACAATGTTCGAATTAAGATGTAAAGTCAATCCATGTCTGGAAATCGTTGTCCTAAAATAGTGCATCTTTGCATTAGCTTTAGAGTTTATAAGAATCACCTGGAAAGCTTACTAAAATACAGATTTCTGGGCCCACCTCTGGAGATCCTGACTCAGTAGGTCTGAAGTAAAACAGGAGAATCTGAAGCCACCAAGCTCTGAGGTGATGCTGCTCCTGCGGGTCAGGGGACTGCTTTGTGTAACTCTGCCCCAGAAGGCGACTGAGTAGGTTAATTTTGTTTTAAAAACAGAATTTAAAGCTTTAAATAATATCATTTAAATACGCTGTTTGAAGTGACTACATAAATATGTGTAGATGTACCTACTGAAGTTTCAATGTATAATAAAGTTAGCAAATAGAAGAAATGTATAAAAGAGAGAGACTGGTGGCTCAGAGATAAAAGGATTGGGCTCTCGGTGCATAATCTGTGGTCAAAACTAGATAGAAAAACGTTGTCTTTCTTTTATCCCTTCTGCTTAGGTGGTCTCACCAAGCATTAACCCTACCCTCAAGAGTGTGTTAACATTTGGACTGACTTGTATTACATTTTTGGATAGTTCCACTTGAGACATTTGTGAAACTATTACCCTCTCACTCTTAAAGGAGTAGCAGTTTCTAATGTTCCTTATGTTACTTTGTGTCGAGATGTACCAAAATATTGTCACTGATTAATAGCATAGGCAAGAGTGTAGCCATTTCTCATTCTTCGTCACCTTTGCTCTTATCGTTGTGAACTCACCAGTTTTTTTCGGTGACTTTTTCTGATCCTGCCGTTCTCCATGATCAAGATCTCTCTTGCGCTCGGATTATTTTTGCCTGTGTCCCCAGCTGGAGAGTCACGGAATAGCACGGAAGGTTTGCTCCTCACCTTGCTTGGGCGTTCTAAGGCAATGCACCCTCAAAGGGGTTTTAGAAAAAAATTGCTATGCTCCTAATTCTTCCAGAGTCGTTCTACAGGGCAGTAAAACCTGCCTTGTTTGTCATTCCCACAACGCGGGGAAAAGTGTCAGGACAAAACTTCAGAGCTGTCATAAGGTTGTTTCTCCCCTGAACAGTAATAAGTCATGTTCATATCATGTACCCCGAAAAGGGCACTTCTCCTCTGTGGTATTTTCCCCCCAAATACGTAACTCCAATGGAATCCTGGGAAAAGCAGAAAAACCTTAATTGAGGAACATTCTACAACATCCCTGACCAGTACTCTTCAAAAGTGTCCAGATTGTGAACAAGCCAACACGGCAGAAACTATTAAAGATTGGAGGAGATAAAGGGAACATGACAATTAACGCAATGCAGTAACCTGGATTGGATTCTGAAAAAGAAAAAGGACAGGAGTGGAAAACCTGTTGAAATTCAAATGTAGTCTTCTTAGTCAGTCTAGCTAGAGGGTTGTCCATCTTTTAGAAGAACCAAGTTTTGGTTTCCTTGATTTTCTCTATTCTTTTTCTTTTCTCTATTTCATTTATCTCTGCTTTAATCTTTATTATTTCCTTCCACCTGCTAGCTTTGGGTTTAGTTTGCTCTTCTTTTCTAATTCCTTAAAGTGTGAAGTTAGGTTGCTGATTTGAGATCTTTCTTCCTTTTTAACATAAGCATTTATGGCTTTAAATTTCCCCCTTAGGACTGCTTCCACTGCATCCCACAAGTTTTGATATTTTCATTAGTGTGCAAATGAGAACAGTGTATTTTCATTTTTATTTGTCTCTAAGTATTTTCGAATTTCCCTTATGATTTCTTATTTGACCCATTGGTTGTTTAATATGTTGTTTAGTTTACATAAATTTATGAATGATCCAATTTTCCTTCTGTTATTGATTTTGTTGATATTTGATTGATATTGTTATTGATTCTCTTATTGATCTTGTTGTGGTCAGAGAAAATACTTTGTATGAGGGGGCTGGCCCCGTGGTCAAGTGGTTAAGTTCACGTGCTCCGCTGCAGGCGGCCCAGTGTTTCGTTGGTTTAAATCCTGGGCGCGGACATGGCACTGCTCATCAAACCACGCTGAGGCAGCATCCCACATGCCACAACTAGAAGGACCCACAACAAAGAATATACAACTATGTACCCGGGGGCTTTGGGGAGAAAAAGGAAAAAAAGTAAAATCTTAAAAAAAAATACTTTGTATGATACCTATTTTTAAAAATCTATTGAGAATTGTAGCCTAATATATGGTCTATATTGGAGAATGTCCCATGTGCACTTGAGAAGAATGTGTAGTTGAAAGTTAGAAGAATGTTATTATGTATGTAAATGTTTATAATTGTTATATCTTCTTGCTGTATCAAATCTTTTGTTAATATATAATATCCTTCTTTGTCTCTTTAACTGTTTTTGATTTAAAGTCTGTTTGTCTGGCATTAGTATAGCAACTCCCACTCTCTTTTGGCTATTATTTGCATGGAACGTCTTTTTCTGTTCTTTCAATTTCAATTCACTTTTTGTCTTTGGATCTAAAGTTTGCACCACGTTTCTTTAATCCATTCTATCAATCTCTGTCTTTGATTGGAGAGTTTAATCCATTTACATTTAAAGTAATTACTAACAAGGAGGGATTTAATTCTGCCATCTTGTTATTTGTTTTCTATATGCCTTATAGCATTTTTTTGTGTGTCATTTCCTGCATTATAGCTGTCTTCTTTTGTATTTAGTTGATTTCTTTTGGTGGGTTTTAGTTTCTTTCTTGTTTCCTTTTGCATATATTCTATAGCTATTTTCTTTGTAGTTACCATGGGGATTATGTTTAACATCTTGAAGTCTTAACACTCTAATTAGAATTTATACCAGCTTAACTTCAATATCATACAAAAACTGCTCCTATCA